CCCCCGTGCTTTTAGTTTATTTACATTTATTTTATGCTGAATTTATTCCTGGGTCATATGTTTTTGTTTCTTTAGTTTCTTCTAGGATGTCTTTTTCTTTTTCTGAAACCTCCTCTTCTGGTTTAGGAACAAGCTGCTCTTTTTCAAAGATCATCTCGGTGTTGCAGGGGGAGCTCAGGTAGGAGGGTTCATCCACCCAGGAGCTCTGTAAGTTCTGTGTCCCATCTTGGGGGCTTTGTTCACCTGGATATGCTCAATGACCAGAGAATCTACTTCTAAACCCTTCAGTTCAACATTACTCTCTGCATTTTTAAGCTTGTGCAGTAAAAATTCAGCACTCTTTTTGGGCCACTGACCCTGTGTCCAGCCCCACTCTTTGGCCTGGGCACACCTACCACCTCCACCATTGTAACCACGAATGGCACACACTGCTTCTGTCAAGTGGCATCCTTCAGATCCTTGGTGGCTTTTTGGATATTCATACCCTTGATGGTGTGGGAAGTTGGGTAGTTTCATGAGCATTTTAAAAATGAACATGAATCGCTGGCCGGGTGGCTCAGTTGGTGAGAGTGTCGTCCCGTACAACAAAAGGGTTGTGGGTTCAATTCCGTGTCAGAGCACATAGCTAGGTTGAGGGTTTGATCCTGATCGGAACATGTATGATGGATCAGTCTCTCTCTCTTCTTCTCTATCTAAAATCAATAAAAACATATCCTCAAGTGAAGATTAAAAAAAGTGACCATGAAGATTTGGGCCTCTTGACTTGTGTGATTTTGTGGGGTCTTCTGTACCGAGTGCATGGCGAACCATTTTCATAGATCAGACTGAAGGCTTTGAATAGCAGCTTCCACCCCTGACCCTTCCTTCTTACGCCCAGATGGACTTGTGCAGGGCTGCGTGTGGTGACTGCTGGGCCCGCAATCTCCTCACCCTTGAATCAGCCCACTTGCTTGGTGCTGCTGCCACCCTTCCTCTCTGCACTCCTCTTTTTATATCTTCTGATCCTAAATCTGCCCTGAGAACACTTCTCATGCAAATGGGACCCACCTTGTGGATCTTCCTCTCCCTTCTGTTTCCTACTCTTTCCCCAAAGCCCTCTCTATTGCTTCATTGTGCTAAACCAAGTCTTCTAATGGTGGCACCTGTTCTCTCAGTTTCCCCTCTGCTCGCTGGGCCAGGGGTGCCCTAAGGTGTTTTTCACCTCTAAACTTCATGCGTGTGTGAGTCAGAGCCCCTCACCTTGCTCCTCTCTTGGTCCCACTCCTTTATCTTCCTTATGCGGTAACTCCAACACTTCACCCATTTCTGTCCTTTGCCTGGGGGCTCCCTCACACCTAGGCTCTGCTCTTTAATCATAAGTGGACCCCCAACTCTCCAGCCCTGGCAGGTTCTCCTGTCCCCACAAGGGCCCCCTCTCCCCCTGGAGGGCCTTCAGCCTCCAGGTTGCACAACAGCATGGCATCTGAGCTGAGAGCCCCTGAGAAGCTGGGGTGGGAGGAAGAGAGAAGGAAGGAAATGTTTGCTCCCACCACACTCCTCATCCCCCAACTGCTCCTTTAAATATTTGCCTAAGCCTCTAGCAGCAAGTATCCTAGGAGGAGTGAAAGAGGGGGAGAGACCCTGAGGGGAGGGGGAAGGATCCTCTCAACTGTGTGCAGCCTCCACTGTGTGCAGGTGCCAGATGCAGGAGACAGCTGCCTGCAGTGCCCACCCCTGCCCACCCCCAGGGCTCCTACTCCCATCCCCGGTTGTCCTGGCAACACTGGGATTGATGGGCAGACTCACACATACTGGGCCTATGCCAGGTGGGCAGTGGGCCAGCAGGAGAGCCAAGGATAACTGCAAGCATCTTGGGGTCCCTGTGGGTATCTCTAGGGGCCGCTTAGTCCAGCTTTGGGGTTTGTTCCGAGCAGGCACTGTGTGTAGGGCTTGCTATCATCACTGGGTGCAGGGAACTGGGGCTCTTTCTTGGAGAGAAGCCTCTGCTTCTGGGATCTCAGTCTCCCCTGCAGGCTGCCCTTAGGCTGTAGTTCTCCTAAGCTCTACAGCTTTTTCTTTCTTTTTGTTACTCATTTTTGCCTGTTTGGAGGTTGGGAAGGAAAGGTGCCCTCCAGTTTCGTGAGGAAAGTTCAGATGCTGGCTGGCATCAGCTTGGTAGAGGTCTTGGGAACCTTGGAGAAGGAAGGAGGGAGGGACCTTTAGCTGGGCATGCATAGTTGTCCCCTGCC